TAGCTGTTGTATTCAAACCACTGACTTTTCAAATAGCAGCTAATGCTTAACCGCCGTACCACCAGGACTCCCTAACCAAACGTAACTATCACTCTAATTTTGTTTCTAAAAAAAGGGAAAAAATTACGTGTGTATTTGTAATGCACTGAAAAGGGACATTACAGATTCTTTACTAGAGATTCTTTGACAGTATTAAAAGCTCGGAGTGTCTAGACAGAGTTGTCATACAGAGCAGAGGGAGGGCAGGTGCTAACAGCTAATACAGCATGAACAATCGCAGACGACGTCCCGCTCCTCCCAGGGGGACACACATCAAATGGCTGAGAGGGGTTATCCTTGGAGCAGGGGTATTAGCAGGAGCATGTGTAAGTCATGGCACTTTCATACATTTGTATAGTGTTCACATTTTTATAAGCATGTATTCATTTTATAACTTAAAAATGAGGTAAGATGAAAATAATACACTTTCCTGTGTTAACTCTTAAAGGAACGGTTCCCTTCTATCTTTGAATATTTCCCATCCACTCTCCTTTTCAGAGCTAAGTCACCCAACTGTGCGTTTAACATAGACTGTTCTCTTGCTTATCGTCTTTCCACACCCCAGCACATATCAGCTGTCACCCAATGCTTCTGACTTCTTGGGCTATTTGCCATTCCCAAATACACCATTTCTCTGCCATCACGTTTCTCTTATTAAAAGACTCTCCCCTCATCTCTGCCTATGAAAATCTATGGCTCCTAATAGCTTAGCTGAAAAGTTACCTCCTCAGGAAGCCTTTGTGGTCGCTCTCACTTAGTTCAGTGGAAACTAACTTCTCCGGCCACACTCACTGAATACCTTATTGTCTCGCCAACACTCCTATCGACCTTATATTTTGCTTACCTGGTATGTAAAGGTCAAAGCAACTAGACTATCAGTTCTGTGATGCAGGAACCACGGTTTTATTCATGTGTGTGTCCTGTTTTAACTGTGTGGGATGTAGCAAAGACAGCACTCAGCGAGTGAAACTCATAACAGATGCCTACATGACAAAGACCAAAATCGCTCAAATTAACAGCTTAACTCAAAAACTCCATGAACTGGAAAGAAAAATGCAAACTGAACCTAAACCTACTAGGAGGGAAAACGAAGATCAGAGCATAAATAAACTAAAAAGAGAGGCAATAAGGCCAGAAGAAGAAAAAAAAATTTTAAGGCCAGAAGTTGGTTCTTAGAAAAGATCAATAAGACTGGCAAATTTTCAGGTAGACTAACCAAAAAAATGAGAAAAGCTACAAAGAGCCAAAACAGAAAATGAAAGAGTAGACCACGGTTCCAACAGAAAGAGAAATATGACAGAATATTATGAATAAGTATATAGCAACAAGCTGGATCACTAGATGAAACGGGTAAGCACACAACCTAACCAAACTAATTCATGAGAAATATACGACTCAATAGACCGCTAAAAAACAAAGAGATCAAATTAGTGATCAAAAACATCTCTCCCCTAAAAAGTACTGGACCAGATGGGTTTACCGGGAAATTTTATACAATATTTTGATAAGAACTGTTACCAACCCTTCCAAAGGGGAAAAAGAAGGAAATGCTCCCTATAGCTATGAAGCAAATACAACCTGATACTCAAACCAAAGACTTCAAAAGAAAACGACAAACCCACCTCTTTTATGACTACAGGGCAAATATCCTGAACACCATACCAGTGAACAGTCACACAGTACATTAAAAGTTATATACTATGACTAAATAAGCTTTATTCTAAGAATGTAGGAATAGTCCAATGTAAGAATATAAAACCATGTACTATACCAAATCAATAGAATGAAGAAAAAGAAGCACATGATCAAGTCCATGGATGCAGGAAAAAAGCATTTGATAAAATCTCCAACAATCTCTCATGATGAAGACCCTAGAAAAGAGTGACTTAAAAGGGAAATTCCTCAGTGTGAGTCAGAGCATATAGGGAAAGCCAACTCCAACATTGTACTTGATGGAGACTGTGAGCTTTCCCCTTGAAATCAGGAATAAGGCAAGGGTGTCTCTTCTCACCACTTCTATTTAACAATGCACTCCAAGTCCTAGCCAGAGCACTAAGATAAGAGAAAAAGAAATGAAAGGTATCTAGATTGGAAAAGAAGAAGCGATAGGAAGTCCCAGAGAGTACACAAGAAAACTCCTAGAGCTGTTAGAAGAATTGAGCAAAGTTATGAGCTCAAGGGAAACAAACAAAAATCAGCGATGAAAAATCAAGGAGACAACTCCACTTATAATAGCACCTATGATAATAAACTTCCTAGGAAGAAATCGAACCAGGGACATAAAAGACTTACATAATAAAAATTATAAAACACTGCTGAAAGAGATAGCATTTTAAAAAGTAAATAATGACTTAAATAAATGGAAAGATGTTCCATGTGCATGAATTGGAAAACTTAATATTGTCAATATGTGAAAACTACCCAACGAAATCTTTGGGTTCAATTAAATCCTCATCAAAATTCCAATAGCATTTTTTACAGAAATAGAAAAACCAGGCTTCAACTTCCCATGGAATGACAAGAAAACCTACATGGCTAAAACCATGTTAAAAGAGAAGACAAAATGAATACAGCTCCACTTCTTGATTCTGAAACACATTGTTCAGCTAGAGTCTTAGACTCTTAGCCATCCCCAAGTCAAACTCACCGCCAACAAGTCTACTGTGACTCATCACAGGCCTAAGGACAGACCAGCACCGTCCCTGTGGGTTTCTGAGGCTAAGATTTAAAAAATGTTTAAATGCAGAAAGTAACAAATCTTAGCAAGGATATGGTGAAATTTAAACTCTTACCTATTAGCAAACTCTTTCATTAGCAAAATGATCCTGCTATTATGAAAAAGCTAGTGTGGCAATTCATCTAAAAGATTAAAAACAGAACTATCATACGACCCAGCAATTTCACTCCTAGGTGTATGAAAACCCAAACAAACAAATCCACTGTCATTGAGTTGATCCTGACTCCTAGTGACCCCACAGGTTAGAGCAGAATTTACGGGAACAGACCACTCTATCCCCTGCAGAGTAGCTAATGCATTCAAACAACTGGCTTTGTGCTCAGCAGCTTAATGCATAGCCCACTATGGCACCAGGGCCCCTCACTATGCCCCCAACCACTTGAAAGCAGACACTCAAACTGAGACTTGCACACTCAAGTTCACTGCAGCACTATTCACAGGAGCCAAAAGATGAGAACCACCTTATGGGCCATAACAGGTGACAGGATATCTAAAATATGGCACGTCATTTATATACACTATTCAGCCAGGTGAAGAAAGATGACTTTAAGACATTATGCTGAGTAAAACAAGTTATCACAAAAGGACAAATATTGTCTGACTTCACTTATATAAAAAGACAAATGTATAGAGACCCAAGTTTACTAGTGGGTATCAAGAGTGGAAGATGAGGTTGAAAAGGAGATGAACAGTAATGGAAAAATCACCTTAAGGGTAGCATTGAAGAACTAATTAGTTAGCTGTGGTAAATAAGTTGTATACCTGCAAAAAGTTGAATTGGCAAAAGTGATGTGAGGAATGTATTTACATCCATGACCACACAAAAAGGAGAAGAGAACAAGCGCTATTGAGGTTGCTCATGTACAACCAAGCACTTCACAGAACTTAGTTCCTCGATGTAGAGGTTTAGTCTGGACTTCCTGCATTATCCCAGCTACTGGTTTAATAACCTGTTTAATCTTCTATCTCCTAGTGTGTTACATAGTGCTTGACCTCTTAAAAGCTTGCAAGTGGCCAAAGGCACAACAATTAGTCTTGGCCTCGATTAACCAACAAAAGAATGAGAGTCAAGAATAGGAGGATGTGGAATGTGGGTTTCATTGCCTCCAGGAACAACTGCCTCCTCTACCATGAGACCAGAGGAACTGGATGGTGCCCATCTATCAAAATTAAGCATTTTGGGCAAAGATTCCACAGAAAACTCCTGATCAAAGGGGGGGAAGTGAAGACTAGAACTTCAATTCTCATGGACTGCGTAATTTCTAGAGTCATAGAGGCTAGATGAGTCCTTGGAACTACTGCCCTGAGAAAGTCTTTAAACCTTACACCAAAAATACCTTCTGTGGTCATCACTTAACTAATAAAAACAGATCAGCCTTGAGCATTCTGCATTTTAAGGAACTATCTACATAGGATTAAGCTGATAGTAGCAATTCAAATGATTAGACAGGAACTGTAAGGAGCAGGGGTTTGTGCAATGAGGAAGGATCAACTCAGAAGTGTCAAGGATGACTGCACAATTCAAAAAATGGAATCAATGCTCCTAAATTGTACATGAAGAAAGTGCAGGACTGGTGTGTTTTGCTGTGTATATTCTCAACAGCAACAAAATAAAGTTTCAGACAAAAAAGACCATTTATCTTACCAATGAGGCTACCAAACAGAAACTATTCAATAAGAAAATGTTCTCCTTTTTATAGAATTCCAGTGCCCAAAAGTCAAGGCATAGCAGAATTGAAGATGATCACTTCTGTATCATCAATGGGTAAAGCCATTAGATGAAAGAATGATGGGGTATTTCACCATAGAATGATCACACTGGTAACATCTTAGCTTCCTCTAGGAATGGGTCAACCAGATAGCACATCCCTCTACCAGATGTGTTAACATATGAAGCACACACTATCACCAATGAAGCATTTTGCCAAAAATACTTCACTGGGCACTAACTTCCAGAAGATAGGGTCAAAAGAATAAATTAAATGGTAACAACAAAGCAAATAGACAAATTTAGAACGTAGGATGTTCTCTAAGACAACTGGTCAGATTCTTCAACAAGTCAGTAACATGGGGGCAAAGAAGGCTTGGGAAGACTTCTCTAGTTTATAAGAGCGATCACTACCCCAAAGATAAAATCCGTTAAAACACGCACACACGCACGCACGCCAACAAACCAATAAACCATGATGTACACAGCTACATGTAAACCTCTCTGGGGACTTACTGTCTATCCAAGACACTATGAGGAACTCTTTTACAGAGAGAGGCAAACACTCTGTTCTGAGAGACAACGCGCTCTTCTTCCTCCTTTGTTAGTCTACAGATATTCTTTTGTAAAGAAACGATCGTTTCCTGTAGCTCCAATCGCTTTTTCTTGTAGTGCTGACATTTTGTCTGTAAGAAAATGTAAAAGCCTGTAAGTTGATGTGTGTGTGTATATGACATGCTAACAATACTGTATACAAAGACACTATGGTTCTACGTAGTTGTAGGTTTTTCCCCCAACAGTTTTATTGACAAGTAATTTATCTATCATATAATTCAATAGTTCAATCATTCAGTCATATCAAGAATTATACAACCATCCCCAAATCAACTTTTTAGAACATTACCCCCTCCCATGGTTAAATCGCCTCCAAGGTGAGTTATGCAATCACAATCCAGTCCAGTGCTCCCTCCCCACTCCCATCTGCACCCTTTACTCCTGAGACCACTTTACCCTCCCCATCATCCACTCCCCACTCTTGTATTCCCCATAACCACTTGATCAGTTACTCTCATTATGCATACACTCCTCCTGTGCTTCACAGCTGGGAGACCAATAGAAAACAAACACACACAAAAATCGTGCAAGGTGGTAAGGATAAAAACATTGTATATACAGACAAATATACAAATAATGCATACAAAGGGGCAGATTCCCAACAATATTCAAGAAACCAGGAAAGAAATTTCTGTCATGGAAGTAGTAAGAGATACGTGCACCCAGAACATATTCAGCTCCTGTCTATGGGGTGGTCAGCTGGCCAAATATCAAGGTCGATCCAGCATAATCAAGATGACAAGGTCTCTGCCCGATAGTGAGGCTGTTTCCTGTGGCTAGAGCAGATCTGCCAGGGGCTCGGCCTGATAGATACTCTCAGATGGGTTCTGGGCTCCCGTCGCCCCACAGCCCTCTGGATATTGGGGTTCAGAATGTTAGCTCTGATGCTTTTCTCCTGACCATATCTGAATGGTGGAATCGCCATCGCTGGGTCACACAAGCTGGTGTTTCTTCCACGTGGGCTTAGTTGGCTCTTCGCTTAGATGGCTGCTTGTTGAATACAAGCCTTAAGACCCCAGACATTACTCTGGGATTCATAGCCAGGCACCATCAGCTTTCTTCATGCTGTAGCACCCTTATCTTCAGTGACCCTTTCATGAAGGTGAGTGTGGAGCAGGGTCAAGATGTAAGAACTACTTGTTCATAAGTTGGAACTAGGATTGAGTGGGAACTCAAAACTCCTTCGCTTTTTTTAAAAATTTGCTGTAATTCCAGCATCATTATTCAAAGAAATGGAGAAACTGATTACCTTACCAACTTCATATGAAAAGGGAAGAAACCCAGGATAAGCAAAAAGAACGTCTCAAGAAGAAGAATAAAGCAGGTGGCCTTGCTCTGCCTCACCTCAAAATGTACTACACAGCCACAGTTGTCGAAACAGCCTGGTACTGGTATACTGATAGCTACTCAGACCAATGCATCAGGGCAGGAAACCCAGAAATAAAAACATCCACATACAGACAACTGATTTTTGACAAATGCCCCCAAAACATTAAATGGGAAGTGGATGCCCGCTTCAATAAACAGTGTTGGGAAATCTAGATATCCATGTGCGGAAGAATGAAACTGCACGCACAGAAACAAACTCAAGGCGGGTTAAATACGTAGAGGTGAAACCCGAGGCTATCAGGGTTATCTAGTCGTGCTATTTAAGAACTTCATTCGACACTGAGACCCCGTTTAAATGAGTGCAACCTCCAGAAACACGAATAGGGCACAAGCACCAACCATGAAATAGGTATAAAATGGGGGAAATAAGAATGCATAATCGCAGGCATTCAACATGTCAAAATGGGTAAAAAACTAGTTCCTGTAGCATCAGCTCTGACTCATGCTAACCACGCTTATCAGAGTAGAACTGTGGTCCACAAGGTTTCCAGTGACTGACTACATGGAACTAGGTCTCCAAGCCTTTCTTTCTCCGAGGTGCCTCTGCATGGGTTTCAGCCTCCAGTCTCTGGGTTAGCAGCCGAGTGCATTAACTATTTGTCCCACCCGGGACTCTATAATCAGTAAAGGAACTCAATGTTTCTATCAACAACCAGGAAGGGAAGAATATTAAAGAACTGGGAATTAAAATGAAACTCGTAAAAAAAAAAAACCAATAATAATCTGTTATCACTGATAATTCAGGATTGCCGATGATATAGTCAACTTAAGCATTCATCCAATGCCAGCTCCTACAGCGCATAGTAAACAACCAGGAAGTTATCCTCAAGAACTAATCAGGAAGTACAAGAAGATTTACACAAAGGAATTAATATAAATCTTATGGATACCCTCTTCCCTTTTCTTGTCTGTTTCCCCTTAGTCTCCAACTTCCAGATTCAGGTGTTCGTGGCAAGCTTGCTCTGTCCGGCCACAAAGGCGAAGTGCTCTTTGGAAAGTTAACACTCAACCTGTGCTCACTGTTGTCAATAGCTTCAATGGCCACCATATTCTGATTATTCCCAGTCATCCCCAGCCCAGATATTTCCGTATATCAGACCAAAGCTCGCTCGACATCTCTCCTTGACTACCCCAAAGACACTTCACCTCCACGTGCCGGAAGCAAGCTCAGGATCAAGTGGCACAGGTGCCAACGGGCCTCTATCTATAAACTAGTCATAAGACCTTGAGTGGCCTAAGCCTGAGAAGCGGGTCAGGGCTCTTGTTAAGAATGTGAATGCCAGAGTCAGACAACCTGAACATTAAAGTAACTCTCCCTCTTATTAAGGTTGTGACCTTGAGTAAGTCCTCTGACCTCCCCAGGCCCCAGCCTGCCCACTATGAAAAGGAAAAGAACATTTTGTTCAGTTATTCAAAAGACCCAAAGAGTCTGTACGTAGTGCTCGGAACGGTGCCTGGCACACAGGACATGTTCAGTAAGGCTCACTCCTGGAGCCTCCTTCCTCGTCTTTAGAGTGAAAGGGGGAAAGGGCACACTCCTTTATAAAACACTGAGTAAGCAAAACCAGCTCTCTCATTCCAACCTGTGTCCACAGAGGTTTCTGAGCAGCCGCTAACTCGTTTTTCAGCAGGCGCATTAATGTTCCACAGTATAGGGACACCAGAATTGTTTTGTTTGTTTGGTTTTTTGCCACCAAAAAAACCGCTGCTACAGTAAATATTCTTATTCGTGTATTCTTTGGTATTTGTAGCATGCATTTCCACTGAACAGATTTTCCAAAGTGAAATTCCTAGGTTGATTTTTTTGCATTTGCTTTATTTACCTATTTCTTTTTCACAGACATACAATTATGTGGGTTATTTGGGAAGTTAATGGGTTGCCACAAGTTGTTAGCTTTATTTTGAGGAGCTTCGGTCGCGCTATGTGTTACGCACTGGGCTAAGCTCAAGGCAGGGAATTCAAGGCCATCAGTCGCACTGCAGCAGACAGATGGGCTTTGCTCCCATACAGGCTGACATTGTGGAAAGCCTACACAATGTCATCAGGAGTCAGAATCGACTCAATTGCCCATGAGTTTGGGGGTGGGGTGGGGTCTTTATTTTAATAAGACATTACCATATCACTTTTTAAAAATCTACAGCAAATCTAGATCTTTTTTCTTCAAACTGCCATCAAACAAATTCCAACTCACAATGGTATGGCAAGGATCAGTAAAGTAGCAAAGGGAAGGTTTGAGAGAGCTTTGGGATGGATATCATTGCTGTTGGGAACGTAAAATGGTTACAGCCCTTCAGAAAACAGTTTGGCAGTCCTTCAAGACCTGACCCTGTAAATTCCCTCTCCTATGTGTAACCCACGGTGCGCAGGAAGTCAACAGGAGCCTGGTCTCCAGTGCGCATTGCAGCACTTTTCTCAATAGCCCAAAGAGTGGAAGCAACGGAAATTTCCATCATGAGATGGACAGACAGGCAAAATGTGCTTTATACGTGCAACAAACTACTCAGTCCTAAAGAGAAACACAATCCAATTGGTGCTATAACATGTTTGAACTTTGAACACGTTACACTGAGTAAAGTACGTAGGTACAAAAGGGCAAATACTGTGTGACCTTCCATACAGGAAATTAGCTAGTTTACAGAAATGACAGCTTCTGTGCGTTTCCCAGGGGTCGGAGGGAGGGAGAGAAGGGAGTTTTGCTTAGTGGGCACAGTTTATCTTAATGTTCCCGACATGCAGCTCACCTTTGTTCCGCTGAAGTTTGTTTCTAATTTAAGAGACCCTACAATTCCTTCACTTAGTATTAAGGACAAATCAAATCAACATATCCAGCTAACAACCAAATTGCTTTCTAAAATTGGTTTCAATATTTAAAATGTCTACAACACAAACTAATACAAGACATAACGGATGACAAGACATAGAAGGTAGAATACTTTGGAAAAGGATATCAATGCTTGTTCAACATGACGCATGTAATCAATGTCACTGAATTGTACATGTAGAAATGTTGAATTGGTGACTGTTTTTGCTGTGCATATCTTAACAGTAAAAATAATTTTAATAAACAGATGGAAAAGTATGTACCATGCAAACATCCTGACAAAGAGAAAGTTTACATCTTGATAACAGACAAAGATCCAAAGAGACAGGAAGAGGCACTCCATTACGATAAAAGGCTTAAATTGACAGGGAGTATAACAATTTAAAATTCTTCTGTACCTAAAGGCATAATCTCAAAATGTATACACAAAATGGGACAGAAATCTAAGGAGAAAAAGATGATCCTTATGGGAGATTCACACACTTCATGGGAGTCTAACAAACTTCTTTAAAAACTATGAGGATTAAAAAAAGGTTGATTCTGACTCCTGGCCACCCCGTGTGAGTCAAAGCACATGAAACTGATACACAGAGATTTCCATGCTGATTTTGTCAGAAGCTGGTACCTGGGCCTTCCTCCCAAGGCACCACCGGGGGACACAAACTTCCCACCATTATGGTTGGCGGGCTAGTATAGTGACCTTTTGCACCCACCCAGGGACTCCCCAGGTAAGATAGGGACCACTGAATAAAGCCACAGGGAAGTCACAAGTTACTGTATATACTCATGTATATGACCAAGTTTTTCAGCACGTTTCTAATGCAGTTTTTGTGGTAAAATTAGGTGCCTCAGCAAGGTGATATTCCGGTTGGCTTATACTGAAGCATATATTGTATCTTGACGGCTATTTTAATATTAACCATCATCTAGGAAAATATATAACTTTACAGTACCTGTAAAGCCATGTGGTCTTTCTGAAGATCTTTTATTTGATTCTGCTGCTGGCAAACTCTACTTAGGGATTCATCCTCCAATTCACCAATTTTGGATTTCACACTCTCCATAATGTGTTCCAAGTCATTAGCTCGCTGCTCCTGATCTGCGGCTCGCCTCTGTTCCAGCTGAAGCTCGTTTCTAATTTAACAGACACACGATGCCTTCCCTTAGTCGTGCAGAAAAATCAAAGCTACAGACCCAGCTAACAACCACACCGCTTTCTAAAACTTGGTTGCAATTTTCAAACTGTCTTACAACACAAGCCAATACAAGACACCTAAGGCGAAATGACTGCCAGGCAATTCACTATTATTCAAAGTGTTATAATTTGATACTTAATCAAAATAGTATTATCTCCGGATTCTTTTCAAGGAAGTTATTTTCAGACTGTTTACACGCAAACATTTCACAAGAGACTGCAACCATTTTCTTACTTAAGCTGCTGATTCGCTTCTATCAGCTCCCGTATCATGTTCTCTTGACGTGCTGTGTCTGCCACCAGCGCTTTAAAATTCTCTCTCATCCTTTGTGATGATTGCTTGTCAAAAACGATAAGCTCTATAATAATATTGTTTAATGTAATACAGGTAGTAAAAAGAACGGTAAGAGCAAAAGATTTAAGATTACACCTTAAGGAGGCAGGCCAGGGTCTGGTTACCTCTGAGATCAGTTCTTCTGACTAGGGACAAAGATTTCAACCCGTGGGTCATCAGCAGCAAGTTGATGTTTTCCCATTCCGCTTCTTCTTGCTGTCATTACACAGAGAAGGGGGCAGGTAAGCTGCAAAGTGAAGAAATGCCTTCCTGCATGTAATTCCAATTTCGTGTTCAAATGACACGTTTTCTCCAAAAGGTGCTCTCAAAATGTAAGCATTTTTAAGCACACAGTGATTACATTTCACAAATAGATTGTGTTTTTTTTTAAAACAAAACCAGCAGATGTAAATAAACAAAAATCATTATATTTTACACATACAATTCCAGAGTATTCATGGTGTAGGTTCTAAATGGACTAAAATAAAACAACAAAACACTCTTGGAACTGAGCTAAATGGACCTAACACTTTAGATTTATCTGAACCTGAGGAAGCCCTGCTTAGAACAGCTGTAAAATAGTAAAGCAAGAATGGGTGGTCAGGAACAAACGTCACTTTAATAATGATGAAGGTCACCCAGAAAAATCAAAACACCTGTCTAGTCAGAGCCAATTCCAACTTAGGTAAAGCCCAAACCAAACTTACTGCCACCATGTCCATTCTGACTCACGGCCACACTGTAAGGACAGGGCAGGGCTGCCTCTATGGGTTTCCGAGATGGTAACTCTTTGTGGGAGTAGAATGCCTCATCTTTCTCCCTCAGAGCAGCTGTTGGTTTCAAATTGCTGACCTTGTGGTTAGCAGCCCAATGTGTAACCATTACACTACCAGGGCTGCCCATCGAGATAACGGATTCTAGTATGATCATTCTAAAGACAGACATTTTCAAGTCTCCTGCCCCTGACGCTAATGGTAAACCTACATTCTAAACCAGAGAAGGGGCTCTAACTCTCCGCAGTAAATGAATAAAAACGCAACAATAAGAGGAAAACAATAAACAACAAATGCCAGTGTTACTCTCTACATCTCATACAAGTATTGCCCTCAGACATTAATGGACCTTTCAACACACACACACACACACACAAAATAAACAGATTAATGATTCTTTGATAGCACTATTGCTCACAGTGCCAAATAAATCCTTCTTTTGGATTGCTGGCATTTTTCCTTTCTGCTATTCTTCCTATACTCCTACACTTCTCTTCCCTTATCTATGCTGGTGCCTGCTAATCCCAGAGTCTACCTATCTTCTGAGAACGACAATGATCACTGGTAGCCACAGTTCTACGTGGGTCTCTCAGTGGCTGTCTACCATGCACATAAAAACAAATAAATAACGAGGTCCTAGGTTATGAAAGATCAAAATGCATATCCTATTCCCTGGTACCCTTGTATGTTAAGAGAAAACAATACATTGTAAATTTTGAAAACAGTTGGGAATTATATTTTTCAACAAAACATTCATCAAACTAGTGTTAAATAAGCAGGAAATGCTGTTACATGCCATTCAGTCTCTTTTGACCCATGGTGACCTCATGTGACAGAGTAGACTGTCCACAGTGTTTTCTTGGCTGGAGTCTTTACCAAGATTGCCAGGTCTTCCTCCCACAGACCCAGGAGGTCAACCCGAACCTCCAACCTTCGTCTCCACCAGCAGCCAAGCACGTAACCATTTGTACCACCACACTAAACCTTCCCTTTAGAAACTATCTTATGAAGAGTCTGAGTACTGAAAGCATTTAATAGTCTTTAAACCAGCATTTTCCAAAATCTGTTCCTCAAACATTATTTAACGGTAACATTTTTCATATTTTGCAGAACTAGTATTGTTTGGCACATAATCAGAAAATCATTGATTTAAAATATTTCACGTTTACCTGTTTTTCGGTCATGCATCTGTCTGATGACTCACTGAGATCCTGGGCTTTAGAAGTTACTGGAGACATAGTTGCTTATGTAGAATGAAAAGCAGTCAAAGTTGGTAATAAAAAAGTCTGAATTGCCTAAATTTAAAAAGGGGGGGGGGCAATTAAAAGATGCTATATTTAAAAGAATGCATTATTCTTGTAAGCCAATTTAGGTCACACGCTGTGTCAAAACTTTTATGAATTCCTAGAAAGTTGGTTGCAAGAATCCTTAAAATAAAGCCTATCCTATAAGCTCCTCCTCTAGAAATAAAATGTTCTGGGGTTTACACATACATGCCTATCCTATAAGCTCCTCCTCTAGAAATAAAATGTTCTGGGCTTTACACATACATGCGCAAGCACAAGCACACACACAGAGATTAAATTATATTTTAACCAGATCATCTAAAAAGCACTTGATGCAAATACATTGTTCTCTTTTGAAAGCTGCTCTACTTTGTCACATGGGGCTGCAATGAGTCAGAAGAGTCTCAATGGCACACAACAATGGCGTGGGCTTTCCCATTATCGTTTAAAGGACTGTAAAAGGAACTCAATGTGAGTCCATGCAGTCTCCAATTCAGCTGCCAATTGGCAGGAACTATCAAGGGCAGAGAAACATTTCAAATGGTGCCTGCACAAGCATTCAGCAATGCTAGACTGTGGGAGATACATAGATTAAATGGCCCTGGCACTTCCTCAGATAAATTGTAAGTAAAAGAAAGGCAAGAAACCCTAGGGGTCAAAAAGTTGGTTGTTTTTTTTTAATGAGCAAGAGTAATTGTAGTGCCTAGGAAAATATTTTTTGGAAACTATTTTTAAATGGATTCCCATGCTGTCAAAAGGATAGCTACCTGGTACAGTATTCAATATATATGAGATCTTTTCTGACCTTGGTCTTGACATTACAGAGTCGTCTTGTCACATCGGACATACCTCACAGCCGATTCCTTCTGTACTTTTCACCTGTTCATTCAAGTCGATCTGGATGGAATGGTAACCCAATGGCTCTCAGGTCCAACACTTGATCTTCATCTAGGTTCCAATAAGATAAGCAGATCAAAATCTTGAGATGTTCAACCTCCAATAAAATCGTCTTGTGTTCATCCCAGAGCACTGTGGTTCGGATACCCCCATCTGAAGCTGGCATTACTCAAGTAACTGCTAACAGCCTCATGACTCACTACAATGTTCGGTCTTTCCTCTCCCAATTTGTTGGAAAAATTTCTCTTGGGAATCCAAGCATTGATGGTTAAAGGATCAGCTAACCTTTGGATCCAAGCATACCATATTCTCCTTTGCATGTGTACTAAAATAAGCACTCTCAGACAAACTCCCACTGAATACAAACGGGCAAAGACTATCTCTTTTCCAACTATGACCAAACCCTCCAGTGACTGTGTTCAGCCAAGAGTCAGTTCCTCTAATCCTTCTCTCACTCTAGACTCTAACATGACATCTGGAACTTGGAAAAGACCAAGAATACTGCCTCCATAAGTCATAGTTTTAGTTTCATGGGAGTAGGGAACGGGAACTGAGAGGTTTGGGGGTGGAATGTATGTGAGGGGGCTTAAGGTGGTTGGTATGTAACACAGAAAGCCATACCTCAAAAAGCAAAACACTTTTGTATCGTCTGGCACTGTCCAGGTTTCCCAAGGGTCCTTTGGTCAAATTGCCCTTTTAAGTTAAAACTCTGTAGTTTTCACCATATAGTAAAACCTTCCCCCACTTTTTTGTAGAATCAGGAGAAACATTAGGTTTTATGTTCCTGAAAAGTTTACAGCTTGGAAGCAGTTCTGTCCTACAGGGTCACTATGAGTTGGAACCAAGTCAATAGCAATGAGTTTGGTTTGGTTTTTGTGGAAAATCAGGAAATTAAAGAACATGGCAATTAAGTGCTCTTCCTCAAGCAACTCAAAGTCCTTGACTGTGTATTTCACATTGCTGTGATAAATGAAATCTGTACTGCTTCCAAATTCTCCATTCTTTATTAAATGCAAAATCTCTTCCAAAAATATACCAACTTGCCATTGAATCTAAGGAGATGGCTTATTGGATATCTTCCCCGGAAAACCATTCTGCCCCAGAATGATCTGTTACACAAAGGGTTGGAACAACTGTGCCCCCACTGAAATAGAAGCTGCTAGCAAAACCCTATTTGTAAGGCACCTCCTCCCCAGAACGCCCCACTCTACACAACAGTATCAGAAGGGGGAGAGTGTAGGTGAGTGGGGGTGGGGGGGACTTAGTAGAAGATTGAGACCAGTATGGGCAGCGCCTACATTGTGTTAATAAGGTCATGGTCAGAAAGGGGCAGTAGAAACCCTTTCTGACGGGTCTCTATGTTCCATGTCTCAGCTTTCTGACATTTCTACTCTTTGATTTTCTTAAAATAATGAAAGCAGGTCTCTCACAAAGTCCGAAACCGCCCTGATTCTGGAATGCGCCCAATAAGCCGGAGAAAGGGATGTTCACCTTCCCCCTCCGTACACCGCCGCCTTTTGCTCGGAGTCTTTACCTGTCAAGCAAGAACCTTCTAAGTCTCCGTGACTGGCGGCTCTACAGAGGAGCGGGCCGCTCCGGTGAAGTCGGATGGATCTGTGAAGCTAGACCGCAGGTTCCCAAACTTAGTTCCCTTTTCGCGGGGGCGGGAATTACTCAGGGCCCCCGTGAAAATGAGAAACGTCTGCAGGATAGTCCATACTCCGGGATGAAGTGTAGGTGTCTGCTTCTGCAGCCCCTCAGGATCGTTCCAGCGACCCCCTTCAGCAGCACCTGAGAATCTCAGGTATCGTGCTAACTTTTACACGACCGGCCTCCTCCAGCCTGCACAGCCACCACGCTAACACAAGGACTGCCAGCTTAAAGGGACACAGTGGACGGCGGAACCTGGGCTCGAACCAGGTTTGAATGAATTAGTGCAAACTCACCCCAAGGGGTTCCTCCCGGAGGCGGGGGGGGGGGGCAAGGGTTGCTGGAAACAGTCTGCCTGCTAGCAGGACCCAGGTGAGGCCAATTCTGAGAGTACTTCACTCAGGGGCCCTCGCCTGGCGCCTGTGAAACCCCAAAGCCACTCACCTTCCTTGGCCGCCTCCGCCCACTGAGAGCCCGCCCAGCCCCAGCCGGCACGGCGGTCTCCGGCCCCGCCTCCGTGACCGTTACGGACGCCCCAGGAGGCCAGCCAATCGAACCCGAGTGCGAAGAGGCGCAAAGAGCGCGGCCAGCGATTCTCTCGGGCATCGCTGGAAGTTGGACCCGCCTAGCGACTTCTGATTGGCTCCGCTGCTGGGGCGGGGCCTGCCGGAGGGAACCACGCGCGTCAACGCCCGCGCGCACTCCCAACCCTGTGCCGATTCGCAGGCAGTCAGTCAGTCACGTACTTGGTGCGTCCCTTACCGCGATGACGTCAGAAATACTCGCGCGGGGCGTCGGTGCTAGGACGACTAGTCACCCTGTTCTCTGTTCTGCACCTGGCTGAGGGCTGCTGTGCCCGGCTTTTGGAAGGCTCTAGTAAGCTTAATGGTTACGCCTTGGGCCGCTAACCGCGGGGTCACTGGTTCGAAATCACCAGCCGCTCTGCGGCAGAGATGACGTTTTCTACTCCCGTCAAGAGTTACAGGGGTCAATCTACCCTGCCCTATAGAATCGCCATGAGTCGGAATTGACTTGCTGGATGGCAGTGAGGGTTTTGTTTGCTTGTTTTCAGTAAATATTGATGACACTCACTATTCCATTCAACATTTTCCAAATCCCTAGGTGGTGTCAGGGTCTACTTTAGGCTCCCAGAAATGCAGACTTGCCCGACTGGAGGTACTCTAGTTAGCGCGCTAGCATACACGAAAAATTAAAGTCCAATGTGATAGGTGTGATCAGTAGATGTGCTAGTGCAGAAAGTAGATTATAGGCGGTCATAGGAACCATCCCATACCAATGGGTCTCAACGCTGGCTGCCCATTAGAATCACCTGGGGTACAAATATGATTTAAAAACAGAAAGATTAGCTCAATCTTCTATTTCTCAGATTAATAAATTCAAATTATACTGGAGTCTCTGCTCGCCGTTTTCAAATAATCAGAGGCTTAAGTAATTTTTTTAATCGTTTTATTAGGAGCTCTTACAACTCTTATTACAATCCATACATACATCAATTGTGTAAAGCACATTTGTACATTCATTGCCCTCATCATTCTCAAAACATTTGCTCTCCACTTAAGCCCCTGACATCTGCTCCTCATTTCCCCCCCTCCCTCCCCGCTACCCCCTCCCTCATGAACCCTTGATAATTTATAAATTATTCTTTTGTCATGTCTTGCACTGTCCAACATCTCCCTTCATCCACTTTTCTGTTGTCCTTCCCCCAGGGAGGAGGTCACATGTAGATCCTTGTGATCGGTTCCCCCTTTCCAACCCACCCTCCCTCTACCTTCCCAGTATCCCCTGAGGGATCATCCTCCCTGGATTCCCTTTGTTTCCAGTTCCTATCTGTACCAGTGTACATCCTCTGGTCTAGCTAGACTTGCAAAGTAGAATTGGGATCATGATAGTGGGGGGAGGGGGAGGAGCATTTAGGAACATAGAGGAAAGTTGTATTTTTCATCGTTGCTGCATCACACCCTGACTGGCTTGTCTCCTCCCTGATACCCTTCTGTAAGGGGATGTCCAGTAGCCTACAAATGGGCTTTGGGTCTCCACCCCGCACTCCACCCCCTCATTCACTATGGTAAGATTTTTTGCTCTGATGATGCCTGATACTTGTTCCCTTCGACACCTCATGATCGCACAGGCTGGTGTGCTTCTTCCATGTGGGCTTTGTTGCTTCTGAGCTAGATGGCCGCTTGTTTACCTTCAAGCCTTTAACACCCCAGACGCTATATCTTTTGATAGCCGGTTAAGTAATTTTTAAGGCGCTCTCGTGGCTTCAAGTAAGCGTTGGACAGCTAAACTCATGAGCGGAATCTCAAGTCCACCAGCTACCTGCTCCACTGGGAGAAAGATGAATCGTCTCTGCTTCCGGAAGGATTATAAGCTCAGAAACCCTATATGGGCTATTGTGAGTCAGAACCAATTCAGTGCCAGTGGTTTTACTTTTTTGTTTTTAAATAATTTTCCAAAAAAATCTTGGGGGTAAGCCAACTTCCATACACCCACAAGACCTGAAATTAATCTGCCCACTGTAATTACATATTTCAACCACATAGTGTCGCTGCTGACAGCCCCTTCTTCAATTGGTCACAAGATAAATCTGTGTCTGGTGCAGGTCCTCCACTGGGGAACAGGAATCAATGAGGGAACATCAGTAACGGCAGGCTGATAACTCTTGGATTTCAGTTCTTTCAGTACCATACTCTCCCTTTTTCCAGGTAGACCAGGCCACTGTGAACTTGACCTCTGCGCCTGCCTCATGCAAACTTGTCCCCCCTCCCTACCCTTTGTGTTCCTGGGTGAATAGCAATGCTGGTAAGGTTTTCCTTTTCAAATCCCAAAACCCAAAGGATCTCATCACTTGCCTTTCCCAGGTTTATAGTGTGACTTGCCCACTCTTCTAAGTTCAGCTGTCCTAATTATGACCAACAATCCTTGAGTCATTTAAGATACTTTAGGATACAGCTGCAAAGCTGCAAGTAATACAAAATTTGATTCTGTTTTCTAAAGCCAAACAGAAATTGATTATCTCACAAAACAGGAAATCCAGAGGGAAGGCAAACTTTGGGATTGGTTAATTCAGTGGTGCAACAAGTTATCAAGGACCCAGTTTCTATTAGTCTTTGCTCTGCTGTAGACATAGAAGGTTTGAAACTCATACTAACATGGTTATCCAACTGTCAGTCCAGAGGACTCAGGACCCCATACTTTCTTTCCCATCTAAACGCTTTCCTTCTAGTTTATTGAGCCAATGAGGTCAAAGAACTGCCTAGAATATATGCAGGTGGCTGACACTTGTAGAGGACCAGGTCAGAAGGGGGGGACCCAGTCAGAAGGGACCGGGAACATAACTGGAACTGGCAATGGGGCTTGGGCTGCTTGAGGCACAGGTGTTACAATGTGGAAATAGGGCTACTTGTGTAAAACCAGGGTCCTGTAAGGGAGAGGAGTGGAAAGGATGCTAGATGAGTAACCAGCAGTGCCCTTAGAACCCTCAAGGCACAGTATGACCCGTTTTCTAACAGTAGACCCTTCCTGGATTTTGTGGCCAACAGAGGGGCGAAGAACGCTCTATAGCACCACCCACTAGAGCAGTGGTTCTCAACCTTCCTCCTGCCATGACCCTTTCATACAGTTCCTCATGTGGTGGTGACCTCCAACCATAAAATTATTTTCATTACTACTTCGTAACTCATTTTGCTACTGTTAGGAATTGGGCAACCCCGTAAAAAGGTCGTTACACCCCCTAGGGGTCGCAACCCACAGGTTGAGAACCGCTGCAAAGGAATTCCCTTCTTATGAAGCACCAAGACCTTTCTAGCACAGGCAAAGATTCCCTACACAAATGCCACCTTTAACTCATGATCCAGCTACATCAGTCTCAAGAATGTCCTAGGGACCTCACACACCCATCATGAATTCTAATGGTTCTAAATGCTCCTTTACTGTTCATTCATTTAAAAATGTTTTGAGTGCCTGGTATGTACTGAGACGGAACTAGATTTGAGTTACTAGTGTGTTTCCTGCACTCACGGAGCTTACACTCCAGTCAAGGGGAGAAATAGAAAAGAACTATGAGGGCGGGTTCTCAGTGCTCTGAGGGGAGGGGGCGGAGGGGCGTGCCGGGTCGGGAGGGAGCGGAGGGGCGTGCCGGGTCTCCACGATGAGGTGACGTGTAAGCTGAGCTCCGGAACAGATCGTCGGCTCAGCTTCCCTTTGTGCTTCGCCGCCGCAGTACAGAATGCAGCCTTCATTCACAATGGAAACTCACGTCTTCATTTCTAGACTGACTCACACGTTTTCTCCTGGGTGTAGGACGATCAGATTTCTCCCCTCAACAGAGTAGATCAAATATGAATGGCATTTGGTGGTAAATTCTTGAAGATCCTTCAACTCAAATCCTTTAGACATAAAATCTTCTATGACATTAATATATTTGTTGCCTTTGTTTTGGTTTTGCCTCCTAGCAGGTAACTCATGGGGGCATGGACTAAGATTGATCCAGTACCTAGCACAGCCTACTGATGTTGATTCTGACTCATAGGGGCCCTACAGGGCAGAATTGGCTGCTCCCTAAGGTCTGAGGCTGGAAATCCTTACGGATGCAGCTGCCTCCTCCTTCTCAACCCACCAGCCTTTTGCTTAGCAACCCAGTGCTTACCCACTGTGCCCCAGGACTCCTTGCCACCAGCCCAGCCCTGGCTAATGGTAAGGAGGCAGTGTCAGATTCTACTGCTAAATCTGACAGATTTCTGCAGGGATAGTCACCCTCCGTAGCTACTTTCCAATGTCAGGGACAATAAGCAGGTAGTTTGGGCAAATATATGAATTAATGACAAATATTCTAGGATCTATAAAGAATGGCACTAGTTCTTATTGAGGACTTACACAATATCAGGAACTGTGCTAAGCACTTTCATTTTCTTACTTATGAGCTCTCCACAACAACCTT